GGGAGGGAGAGAGGGGGGGTGCGGGATGCACCATAGCCTGCAGCCGGGAGGGAGTGCTGCTGGGCCACCTTACCCCGGCAGAGCCATGCACCACAGAGCAGCCGGTGTAGGGCACCCAGGCTGTGCCGCTGCCCCAAGGGAAGCACACTCCATTTTCTGCTGGATGCTCGGTCATGGTGCTGAGCAGCAGTGGGGTAGAAGATCAAGAGTGGAGAGTTCAAGGGGAACCCCTCCCATGCTTTTCCCTCTCTCCCAGTCTGGAGATCTCTCTCCTTCACTGCCTGGCTCCTGGGGGTGGGGTGAGGTGGAGTGGGGGCTCTGCGTCCCTGGATGGCTCCGCTGCTTTCCTTCAGGCAACACATCCTGCTTCTAGGGGAAGGAGTACTGAGGATTATAGTCTTCTTTCCAGAAAGCCTGGGCTTTCCTCTTCCCAACCACATGTTCAGGGCCCTATACCTTCTACTGACAGGGTGACTCTGACCGGATGGGTGGACTTAGGGTTGGATGATGTGCCATGTGACATGAGAGCAGTAGGAACATAGTACCAAGTTCCTACTGCTTTCCGTGATCTGTGACTCAGGTGGGGCCCAATGACACCCTTTTATTGACACCAGAGCTGAGATAATCAGGGCAAAATGCATGTGCATGACAGGCTGGATGGATGCTCCCTTGGGCTTCTTTCCTTTCTTCAGAAAAGGGAATGGGGAATAGCCAGGAGATTAGAGTTCTTGCTCCATGCCTCCTAGTGGTGTGAGCTTGGGCAAGTACTTTCCTTCTCAGCACCGTGGTTTCCTTTTCTCCTGGGCTTGAAAGGCTATTGTGAGGCATCTGGCATCCAGGAAACACCCAGAAAGCACCCAGGAAATGTTCCCTTTCTATGACTTCATAGAGTACACCACTCAGGAGGCCAGTTAGGGGTCGTGGGGAAGGGTGCAGCCCCCTGGCTTCTTTGTTCCGGGTTCTAGACTGACCTTAGGGGCCTGGCAATGGGGTGGAAGAAGCCTGAATTCTTGATGCACACTTTCCCCCCACCTCCACAGAGGGCCTCTCTTTCCAGGCTTTCTTAGCCCCAGGCAGACAAGCAGAGCTAGCGGAAGTATTCTTCAGTGCCATATGGCAGGTTTTATTTGTATACTTCCAAATTTTCCTGTCCAACTCTCCCATTCAGATGATTGTACAATCTCCTCTCTGTGCTCACACTCTGGCTCCCATCCGAGGTCACACCACCTGCGAGCAGAGACTTCAGTGTCAGGAGATAAGAGCACCCCCAGGAGGCGCTGCCGTCCAGGGAGAGGGCTTAGGGACAGGGCTCTGCAATGTCTCGCAGGTTGGAGATGTGGGTTTTGTGAAGGGGAAGCCGCCTTTTCCACTGGACTTCCAAGCCCATCACCCCCTTCCTTTTTGGGGATCTGAATTCTCTCTCAGAGGGCCTGGAGTATTTTCTTTCTTTTTCATGCTAAGGAACTTTTTCAGGGTAAATTAATTTGAAGCATGAATAGAAAAACAAATGGAGAGGTGACTTGGTCCGAGAGGGGATGGGAAGTGGCAGAGCCCTACTTGACCACATCACTTCCCCCAACATTTAGAAATTCCTGAACTGCTTACTCAGACTTCTGTGAGATTCTGAGTCGTAGCAGTTGTGGCCCCTCATGAGGCCTCCAGCCAGTGGGATGACCACCCACCTCAGAGGCCACACTCCCAGAGTGTGCCTCTCCTTCCTTAAGTGCCCCTAGTTGGATCCCGAGAGGCTCCGTTCTAGCCACTAGGCTGGTGTGTGGTCTTGGTCAATGACTTCCCCCTCCCTGAGCTTCCCTTTCTAGTCATGAAGGTGAGGCCTCCCAGCACTGCCAGCCACAGCCCCCAAGACCGTATTCTGAGCCCTCTGATTCTGGGGCCCAGCTCTGGACCTGGCTTGGGGCCCGTATCTCACCCTGGCCTGGCAGTGGCGTTGTCACATCCTGTATGGATGGCACATAGGCAGCTCAAGTGATGCAGAGCAGAAGCGGGTGCAGCAGCGCTTGATGCAGCGCAAGGTAGATGACCTGCACATCACCCGGGGTCCTGGGAGATGGATTCGCGTGGGCAGCCCCTCAAACCAGCTCCCCTGCTCAGCTACTTCCAGCTGCTCCGTGTCCCCATGGTGGGTCTTCAGGAAAACAACTCCAGGGTCCCTAGTGGGTAGTTGCCTCCCCCAGGCTCCAGGGCACGTGGTCAGGCCATGACCCCTCGATGACTCTGGGACCTCAGACTCCACCTGTTCTTCTCCCTCTGGCACCACTGCACATGATTTCCGAACCTTTTTCCTCCCCGGCATCCCCACCTTGGCCTTCGACTCCTTAGGCTTCCCTAAGTTCTTGGACTTCGTTTTTTTCTTGGAGCACCTAGCCTTCTGGAGCTCTTCATTGTTCTGATCCACTTTATTGCAGACAGTGTTGTTCCTGGAAAGGAGAATAGCAGTAAGTAGAGCAGGACCGAGGCCTGGTCCTCTAGCCTGGCCCTGAGACAGCTGCTGTGCAGCCAGCTCAGGGGAGCCTGTGAAGAAAGCTAGGAAGGGCCTGAAAAGGAACTTCTCTACCACCCAGAGGCCTTGCACCTCAGGGCAGGGGATGTGATACTTATTGGCAGCAAGGATGTGAGAGGTTGGGAAGGCAAAAGGTGATGACTAGTAGCAGGTAGGACACCTGGGAATATTGATGGTCCGCACCAGCCATAGGTCAGGGTTCTACCTGTGCGGATTCCACTTGATGGGGTGAACTAGTCCAGTGTTTTGTTTTGGTTTTCAAATTGTGTTCCAAGAAGCCTGAGGATTCTAAGGAATTCCCTCCTCCCCCCAGGGGCAGGGTGAAGGTAAGAGACTTTCCCCCACAACAACACAATTGGGACTTGGGGACAGATTTTGAAGAGAGGTTCTGCTGCTTTATTTTTTATTATTATTATTNCCCGGGGTCCTGGGAGATGGATTCGCGTGGGCAGCCCCTCAAACCAGCTCCCCTGCTCAGCTACTTCCAGCTGCTCCGTGTCCCCATGGTGGGTCTTCAGGAAAACAACTCCAGGGTCCCTAGTGGGTAGTTGCCTCCCCCAGGCTCCAGGGCACGTGGTCAGGCCATGACCCCTCGATGACTCTGGGACCTCAGACTCCACCTGTTCTTCTCCCTCTGGCACCACTGCACATGATTTCCGAACCTTTTTCCTCCCCGGCATCCCCACCTTGGCCTTCGACTCCTTAGGCTTCCCTAAGTTCTTGGACTTCGTTTTTTTCTTGGAGCACCTAGCCTTCTGGAGCTCTTCATTGTTCTGATCCACTTTATTGCAGACAGTGTTGTTCCTGGAAAGGAGAATAGCAGTAAGTAGAGCAGGACCGAGGCCTGGTCCTCTAGCCTGGCCCTGAGACAGCTGCTGTGCAGCCAGCTCAGGGGAGCCTGTGAAGAAAGCTAGGAAGGGCCTGAAAAGGAACTTCTCTACCACCCAGAGGCCTTGCACCTCAGGGCAGGGGATGTGATACTTATTGGCAGCAAGGATGTGAGAGGTTGGGAAGGCAAAAGGTGATGACTAGTAGCAGGTAGGACACCTGGGAATATTGATGGTCCGCACCAGCCATAGGTCAGGGTTCTACCTGTGCGGATTCCACTTGATGGGGTGAACTAGTCCAGTGTTTTGTTTTGGTTTTCAAATTGTGTTCCAAGAAGCCTGAGGATTCTAAGGAATTCCCTCCTCCCCCCAGGGGCAGGGTGAAGGTAAGAGACTTTCCCCCACAACAACACAATTGGGACTTGGGGACAGATTTTGAAGAGAGGTTCTGCTGCTTTATTTTTTATTATTATTATTTTTTTATATATCTTTATTGGTTTCAGAGAGAGGAAAGGAGAGGGAGAGAGAGATAGAAACATCAATGATGAGAGTCATTGATCAGCTGCCTCCTGCACGCCCCGACTGGGGATCGAGCCCACAACCCGGGGTGTGCCCTGACTGGGAATTAAACCTGATCGCCTGGATCCTAGGTCGACGCTCAACCGCTGAGCCACGCCCAGCCGGGCTCTGCTGCTTTAAAAGGGTTAGAAAACTATGGGACTGGATGATCCTGACCCTCTGGCTCAGTGTTTCCTGATTGCCTGCATCTAGGAGGCCAACTTAGGGAGAGGAGCCCAGAGAGGAGGAGTTATCCAGAGGTATTAAATGCTGGAAAGGATGTGTAATAGATTGGGTCCCCTGCAAAGTGGTAGCACCGTCCTAGCTGAGTGTGTGGAGGGGGGCGAGGCCTTGGGCTCAAGATAAGGACACTACTGATAATGGTAATGGCCAGCGTTCACTGAGTGCCCACTATGTGTGTGGCCTGGGACCTCACAACAGTCCTGCACAGTGGGCAGCAGTGAAGAGGCAGAGTGGCTTGGAGAACACAGGTTTTTGCCACAGACAAGCTGGGATCAAATTCGCTTCTGCCTCTTCCCATCTATGTGATTTGGGGCCAGAAATGTAACCTCTCACAGCCTTAGTTTCATCATCTGTAAAATTGGGATAATTCTGTCTCCCTAATAGAATTATTGTGAAGAATAAACTAAATGGGAAAATGCTTGTAAAGTACTTAGCATAGTACCTGGCCCTTAGCAGGTGCCTAATAAATGTGAGTTTTCTTAATATTCTGATGAGACTAATAAGGAAACTGAGCCTCAGCAAGATGCCTAGTCTTCAGGTGAATGTAGGGGTTATGTTGACCTGAGAGGGGGAGCAGGAGGGGTGCCCACGGTGCTCAATGGTGCAGGTGGTAGTTAGTCCCATAACTGCATGAGTATGACCATGGTTATGATCACAGCTCTGATGATAGACAGGAATGGTTTCAAATTCTTGCTCTGCCACTTACCAGGTCAGATAACTGGGACAAGTCAGTTCATCTCCTGAGCCTCAGCTTTTTATTAGTAAAATAGAGGTCATAAATACCTTTCTCCCAGAGCCTTTGTGAAAATTAGGTTTCTAAATTCTTTAGCACAGTGTCTGTTCCTAGTAAAGATAGCTGTTGGGGGCGTGAGTGGCCTGAGCTCACCTAGAGGCGTTCGGGAGGACCTTCTGAACTTTGAACAGTGAATTCCAACACATTTTTGCCAGGTTATGCAGTTCTTGGATCCGGGGGTTCGAGCTCTTGAGTAACCTCAAGAGCGACAAGTTTTTTAACACCTGCCAGAGTAGAGAAACCAGAAAAACAGACACTTCAGTTCTGCGATAGCCTCCCACTCCCCATCCAGACTTTGGTTCAACTCAGCCTGGTGACTTTCCTGGATCACTGAACTATGGCACCCAGAAGCAGTACTGCATGGGTGGCCAGGCTTTCCTCAGCTGGGACCAAAATGGAGCCTCTTACCATTTAAGTCTGTTCCTCTCAGTCCATTTATTGATAAGAAGCTGCCTATTGTCTTGTGCTTCCTTATGTTGCATCTGGGAGAGAGGGAGCGATAACCCTACCCCCTACCCTCTGAGTGCCTCCATTAGGCCTCTCCATTTGGCTCAGCATGATTTCACCAACCCTAGACCGAGAGTTATCTCGCTTCTGTTTGGTGGCAGAAATGGGGAGACCATTTTAACTCTTCTGACCTCCCTTCACCCTTCAGCGCTCCCTTTCCCTCCACCTGCCCTGGGTGTGGTTGGACTCTTTGTAAGACCCCCTCTAGGTCCAGTCCCTAGTCCAACCTTGAAAACCACGCTATTCTGGGGCCTCTTCTTTGCTGATGGACTCATGCTGGGGCTGTGAAGGATGCCTCAGACAGATGGAGCAAGACTGGTACCAGGCACTGCCTGAGCCCTGCCCCTCTCAGTTCAGCCAGCACGCAGGCTGGGCATTGGTATGGTCATGCTGCAGCTCCCAGGGAGGGGAGCTGTGACATCACTGAAATATATGACGACAGCAGGGCTGGGTCTCCAAGGAGTATGTGTGGCAGGGGTAGAGGGTGAGGAAGAAACTCCCATCTGCAGAGAAACCTGGTAGGTGCCAGGCAGAGGCATATATTGTTACGACCTCCCTGTGAGGTAAGAGGATTATTCCCTCTTTTTAAATGAAGAAGCCAAGGTTCAAAGAGGTTAAATAATTTATTCAAGGCCATAAGTTGGATAATGGTAGAGCTGGAAACCTAAGGTGTGACAGTCAACCCATGAAACCAGGGGTTCCCAGCTATGGTTATCTATTATTCTTTCATGTCACATGTGTTAACTGTGCCCCGGCTACATGTCAGGTGTTGTTCCAAGTACCAGAATAAAAGAAAATTTCTACCCTTAAGGAACTTACCTTCCAGTAGAGGGCAAACCAAACAGTGTGTGTGCTTGTAAATGTTCAATAATTGGCTCTCTAAAACAAAGTGTGTGTATGTGTATGTGTTTATTATAAATTTAACTAATAGACATCTAAAGTAATGAAATTTGACAATACTCTTTATTGTAAATTCCATAGTCAGCTGATTCATACAGAATACTCTCCTTGAATTGTGCCTAACTCTTGTATCCATAGCCAAATTATGGTTGTAATGGATGAATGTAGTTCCAACATGAATGTTGGTATTTTCATTTATACTAAGAGAAGAAAGTGAAAAAATGAAAGAACAACAATGTTGGAATTCTACCCATTCATCAATGACATGATCAACTTATTTGCTGAATTAGATCATAGTTTTCAAATACTGGAAGTATATTTTCTTATTTTGGGGTGTGTGCGTGTGTTGCTATTTCCATGTAACAGCTGTAGACAGAACACATATTTACATTTAATCTGCATTATCAACATCTCCATTACTTTCTCAAGGCTAGACCAGGGGTCAGGAAATTTCTTCTGTAAAGGCCATATAGTTGCAACTGCTCAGCTCTGCTCTTGTAGTTTGAATGCAGCCATAGATAATATGTAAATGAGTAGGCATGGCTGTGTTGTAATAAAACTTTATTTACAAAAATAGTTGGTGGGCTGGATTTGGTCCATAGCCAATCCCTGGTCTAGACATCAACAAAATAATAAATCAAACCTGATTTACCACATTTACCTATGTCTGTGCTGTAAATACTCCTTCCACAGCTGTTTTCAAGCTACCAATGTGATGTCACTGAAAGCAGAGCTGAACAGAAATGGAGAATACCATACCATTATATATTATATATTTCTACAGATGTACACTCTCAAGAACATAGATCATAGTAAAAGGCAGTAAAAAGATTAGAAACTGATGAGTTTGAGCATTTTCATCTTTGTTTTTAATATCATTAATTAAGCTTGTATAATTTAATTTTTTTTTTTTTAATCCTCACCCAAGGATATTTTTTCCATTGCTTTTCAGAGACAGTGGAAGAGAGAGAGAGAGAGATTGATGTGAGAGAGATACATTGATTGCTTGCCTTCCTCCTGCACACTCCCCAACAGGGCCAGGGATTGAGCCTGCAACTGAGGTTTGTGCCCTTGACTGGAATTGAACCTGAGACCCTTCAGTCCAAGGGCCAACGCTCTAATCATTGAGCCAAACCAGCTAGGGCTGTATAATTTAATTTTTAATAATGGCTATGTTTAACAACCAGCCAGCAGAGTTCCTGAAAATGTAAGAGGCTTTTGTGAGCCCTTATGAGTCAGTTCCAGCACGCCACTTTTCTGTCAGATGGAAATAAGTATGTGGAGAAAATTTAACAGGGCAGTGGGGAACAGGAGAGCAAAGACAGAAGCTTTGCTATGTTAAAAGGACAGAATGGAAAAGATTCCCCAACAAGGTGAGATCTGAGAAGAGACCTGAGGGAAGGAAGGGAAGGGGCGTGGAGAGTGCCAGTGGCAGGAGATGAGGGCAGAGACGGAGCTGTGGTGAAGGGTTGGGACAGATGAGGTAGACTTTAATAACTCTGGCTGCTTTGAATAATCTGCCTAGGTGGCTGCATTAGAATAATCAGCTTCTCAGGTACCACCCAATAGAGTCAGCCAATCTGATACCCATCCAAGTGTGGGAACCACTTCATATCATACAGCTTCTAAGGCAGAGAGATGTGCACGCATAGGGAGTGCGTAGCTCCACCTTTTAGGAGTGATGAACCAAGGTTAGACTGCAGACAGTTTCTTACATGTAAATGTCCTTTATCATTGGGGTGGGGAGAGCATCATGTGTGAGGCTAAATGTGCTGTGGCCTAGGGAAGAAACCAGGAGGTGACTTGGGAGGGAAGACACAAAGGACAGCCTCCCTTCTCCCTCCTGTCTACCCCAGTACTCCTTGGCCACTCTGCCTGCTCAGGCATCCCTCTTCTTGCCAGCACAACTTCAGCTCACATCAGCTGGACTCTCCTGGACCCTGGTGGGCTGCATTAGAAGCATATACACCTGCCAGTCAGCCCTGGCTGCCAAGGGCTGGGGACCCATTATGTCCTTGTACCAAGAACAGCAACATCAGAAGCAGAGCATGCCTCCCTCAAGAAGCTCAGAGGCCCAAGGGAGAGGTACCTCTAGAATATGGGCTTCTCAAAGTCTATTGCCCAGTTCTAATGCCACTCCCATGCTTTAACTTTTTTTAAATATATCTTTATTGATTTCAGAGAGAGGAAGGGAGAGCGAGAGAGAGATAGAAACATCAATGATGAGTTGTCATTGATTGGCTGCCTCCTGCCAATCGAGCCCACAACCCAGGCATGTGCCCTGACTGGGAATCGAACCGCAATCTTCTGGATGGATCCTAGGTCGATGCTCAACCGCTGAGCCATGCCCGGCCAGGCACCACTCCCATACTTTAGAGTGCTGTGACAGCAACCCTCTGCCCCAGTGCCATGTTATCTATTGCTACACAGCAAATTTTTCCAAAAGTTAGTAGTTTAAAACAAGTATTTATTACCTCAAAGGTTTTGAGCATCAGGAATCCAGTAATGCTCTAGCTGAGTGGTTCTGCCTCAGTTTCTCATGAGGTTGCTGTCAAGCTGCTCTGTTATTAGATATATACACATATGACGGCTGATGAACCTGTTTCCATGCTCACTCATGTGGTTGCTGGCAGGCCTCTGTTCTCTTCTGGCTCTTGACTGGAATCTTCAGTTCCTTGCCATGTGGGCCTGTGGGGCTGTTGACAGTGTAGTAACTTGCTTTCCCAAGAATGAGCGATCCAAGCAATAGAGAGGACACCCAAGATGGAAGTTGTGGTCCCTTTTTGTTTTTATAAGTCCTAATTTTGGAAGCGATATATACCATCATTTCTGCCATGTCTTATTGGTCACATAGAATAACCTTGATACAGTGTACGAGAGAACTATACAAAGGTCTGAATGAACAAAAGGCAAGGAACATTAGGAGATTTTAGGTGTCTGGTTGCTGCATTTCAGTTTTATTCAAGATATTTTTGTAATTTCCTTTTCAACTTCATCTTTGACTAAGGGATTATTTTGAATTGTTGTGTTTTATTTCTAAGTGTTGTGCTGTTTTCCAAGTATCTTTTTGTCATTATTTATCTTTTAGTTTTTTTAAAGTCATAAAACATATTTTGTATGATTTAAATTCTTTTAAATTTATTAAGGTTCGTTTTTTGGCCCAGAATATGATGTATCTTGGTGAATGTTTTGTGTGTGGATGAAAAGAATGTTCTATAGCCTTAGATTTTTAACTGTGTTATAGATTTTTCTTTCTTATTCTACATACATTCATTTTTATTTAATGTATTTTTGAAGCTGTTATTAGTTATATACACATTTATGATTGTTAATTCTTCTTAGTGAATTGAACCTTTTATCATTACATAATGTCTCTCTCCATCCCTGGTAATAGTCCTTTTTTTGAAGTCTACTTTTTCTGATATTAATACTGCCACTCCAATTTGCTTTGATTAGTGTTTGTATGGTATATCTTACTCCATCTATTTACTTTTAACTCATATATTTCTTTATAGTTAAATTGGGTTTCTTGTAGACAGCACATTATTTCCTCTTGCTTTTATTCACCCAATTTAGTAATTGGTCTTTTAATTGGTTGTTACTACATTTGGATTAAAACCTCCATCTTACTATTTGTTTTATATTTTTTCATCTGTGCTTTCTCCTCTTTTTCTTCCTTACTTTGGTTTGATTATGTTTTGTCAGGGAAAAACCTTAACGTCATGGCTTAACTTCATGG